TCAGCAGATGATATGAGGATAATAAATCATATTATTATGTAAAAGTAGAAAAATAGTTTTAAATTAACTCAACAGATTTTAAAAGAACTTGAATATAAGCTCAGTCACTATTGGCTTAACAGGAACTTCTCATCCAGGCATCAGTGCTCACTGGGTTTGTGTAATAAAGAACACCCATCGGAAACAAGCCAATGGAAGCTACTCACAGTGAGACACAAGAAGCACTACAAAGGAAGGAAGAAGAGAAAAGCACGCCAGAGAATCTATTTGTCAACAACGTACTTTAGTCATTGTCATAAAGAAAGAAACTGTTTTAAATATATAGCTATCAAAGACAAAAATTATTATTTCTTGCAGACATTGCAGCAATCTAATTGGAAAATCAACAAACATTAGAATTTATTAAACTAGCTTTTGTGTTCACTACAATGGCAGAATGCAAAAGATGGGGGGGGGTTGATCATTGTTTATAAACAAGACCAGTCAGGTTTCTAATTTAAAATTCCACTTACCACAGCAAACTATATATCATAAAAACTCTTTAGTATAGTATTTTCTAGTAGAATGAAATGCTAGTCACATACGTAATTCTATAATAGTGGCTGCATAAATAGGCAATAAAATGTACTTTATTTAATCCAGCAACCTAAAATACTTTAATATCTAATGACTATTTTAAACTATTAATAAGATCTTTTCATTTTGTTTACTAAGGCTTTAGAATAAAGTTCAGATGGATGGAAGGGCCCTTTTACTTTTGTTTGTAAATTCAGGATTGGGATAGCCTCCCTTTAAATTTTCACTAGCTAGTTACCTTGACCCACTAGTAGCTGCTGCACTGAATGTTGCAACTTCATAGAGCCAGGTTTGTGTCTAAAAAACTAAATGTGGTATTTAAAAATCTGAAAATGCCAAAATGTCTTTCAGTGTAAGAGGACATTTTGTTAAAAAGGTAAACATGAGTAGTACTGAAAGGAACTTCTTCTTAAACTATAATCACATCAATTTTTCTCCTGAAAACTTGTATATAAATTCAGAAGAAACAAAGTCAAAATCCCCATGACATGTGGGGGGAAGATTTGACAAGCGATTCTGAACACTGGGTGCCTAAGCATCAAAGCACACTAAGAAAGTCTGAAAACAGCAAGAAATGGAGTTTTGTCATCTCGGACACTCAAGTGCTTCCATATGTTATCAATTTATAGCTAGAAATTGCAAGCCTAGAGTAGTTAAGAACTAGATAAACAATCAAGGTAGACTCATAAGTAAGTAAAAAATAATGATATACAGGTAAAATAAGCATTGAAAAAATATAACATGATATGTCTATTTTACATCATATCAAAACAAATATTTGAATGAGTCAAAAATGTAAATGGTAAACTAGAAGGAAGTGTGATGATTCATGTTAATGGTAACCTGGTGAATCAAGAGTCTCCAGGGAGACTGGAGCAAACATCTATCCTTCTCTGCTTCCTGGTACTGGACATGATGTGACCAGATGCCTCAGGCTCCTGCTGCCCTGATTCCTGTCATAATAGACTGGACTTTGAATGGCAAGCTAAAACAAACCCATCCTCCTTTAAAGGCTTTGTTGGGGTATTCATGATACATAAATGGTTTTCATAGGCTGGTAAGAGACAGACAACACACACACACACACACACACACACACACACACAAATGCACTCAAAACTTAAATAGGCCATCTCCTAACATCTCCTAAAAGGAAAATTAGTGTTAATCCCATCATATTAGCAAAAATGAAATGATAACCACCATTTTTGACAGGGCACAAATGTATGAGCAGTCAATCTCTCTTCCCTTTTTTTTTTTTATGCCCAGATGATCTTTCTTGAAAAACCTTGGCTGTATGTTAAACTTATTTTAGAACATGTACCTGTCCACTTACAAAAGATATTTAATTAGTCAGTTCACACTACAGATACTAAAATGGAGGCTACCAAGGCCGGTGGGCGGGGTGGGAAGGAGAAGGAAGAGAGATGCGGCCGAGCATAGCATCTCTTTGTGATACTGAGAACATTCTGGAAAAGGATAGAGGTGATGTTTGCATGACATTACAAATCTACTTAATGTCACAAAATATCATGCTCAAAAATGATTAAAAATGGCATTTTGAATTTTATATATTAGAATATTGTTTTCTAAATCACATGACTATAAAGTTTATTAAGTCATTTCCTGTTGTTAAAAACTTAAGTTCTCCCCTCCCCACAAAATTGACATAAAATAGCAATATAGCAGAAAAATAAATAAAAGTACATGCTTTCACCCAGAATTTTTATTTGTGGTTATTTATCCTATGAACATAATCAAGAATACATGTAAAGAAATACATTTTCTCCCTGGCATTGTTCATAATGAGAAAAAATAAGGACCCTAAATAACTAAAATTGTGGTAGAAAATGAAAAAATTAAGACAATCATTTAAAAATTAAAAGGTAAATATATCTACATGGAAAATGGTTAAAAGTATCACTTGGTGACTGGTGTCCTCACCAGAAAGAACCCAGGAGAATGAAAGAGACTGAAGCCCGCTGTTGCCTTTGTGTTCTTTCCTTCCTTGTCAACATTTACTGTTTTCTGTTTCTACAATTAATCAGCAATGTTTTGTCAAAGTAGGGGAACTAACAAAAGCACTTAATTTAGAAGAAAATACTCTAAATCCTTCCCTTCCTCAGAAGTAGCACTGAGCTACTCAGTGCTACTCAGGGTAGGTTGGAGGCTGTCCTACGCTGCTATGTACTACACACAACCAGCAGTAACTCTTTCCCTGGTCTAAATGGCTAGAAATTCACCTCTAGGAAATCATCCCTTTGGGTTTTCCAGGGTGCTTCTTAGCTGGCTGCCAGACAAGAGTTTTCTTTTGCAAATCAGTGCTCTGACCTTGCACAATGAGGCTGCACACGAAGGGCAGATAGGACGAATCCAGCTAGGTAGACCCTGCTACACCCAGACCCAGGATAACCACGGTGCCTCATGAAGCACATAGTGCTGACAGTTACGAAAAGGCCACACTGAGGTCTAAGCACACAGGTCCCATCCTGAAAGTATTTTGGTTTGCTTGTCTTACACATTAAGTTATAAATCTAAAACAGGAAACTTGAAATCGTTAAAGTCACATATTTATTACATCGTATTCAGTTAGGTTAGAAAAATGCAGTATCTGTCATCATGTCATAAAAAAAAAATGTGTTTTCCTCTCAGATCTCTTATGAAGAAAAGCTCCCAGGATTGTTACAGATAGGGCTGTTTTCAATCAGTTACAAGGAACAATTCAATTACTACATGGTTTAGTGCAGTAACTGACTCCAGACTAATTTAATTTCTCTAGGTCTCTAAAGATCAATTGATCTGATTTGTCCCATCCCCAAAGGCTATTTAGGAAAAATTCAGACTTAAATACCTGGAAATGAAATCCAAAACCTTGGCCAGTTTCACACCACTTAGGTCATCTTGCAAACTTTCAGCTAGTCATGTCAGAGTGCTCTCTTGGCCTCAGGACCATCTCAAGCCACTTAGCTTCACATACAAGTGAGTGCTCCCACATCAGAACGCTTATTCAATAAGTGGAAAATGTGGCCACATGCATTATCAAATCTGTTGCTCTAAAGGGCAGCCAAGCTGGGCTCCTATTTCATGAGCATGTGTGCAACTACGGGGCTATTTTTACTCTTAAGATCAGTTCACAGAGACCATTCAACGTTACTCAGATAGGGTCTAAAGGGTTAGATGCAAGGCTCATCTAGGATGAGAGACTCAGAATTTTTGCACTTTAGGTTTATAGTATGCTTTTATAAATATCACCATCCACACAATTCTCTAACCAACCTACTCTCTGAGACTTGGGCAATAGATGTCCATCCAGCAGCGTAAGGTTCGGGTTTGTCCTTGACTTTACCACCTCCGACCAATGGTCAGACTCTCCAGCAATTAGTCTTTCTTTTTCACTCAGACTCTCTGGCTCCCAAAACAGCCTCTACATCCATTCCTTCCAATTATACCACCACTCCATGATCTGCCACTTTGGCACATTTAAGAAGAATCAGACAGAAGTTGATAAAACATAATTAACCTTTCATTTGAGTTGCCAAGACAGGCCGGACAGAAGTGCCAAGGTCAGATGTGCCCATGTCATAGGCAATAAAAGGAAAATCAGAAATGTGTGGCAGTTGACAGCAGAGTCACACAAGAAATTAAGATACAGTAAGTGAGGGGGGCTGGTAGCTATGTGGTGTTCCAACCATCAGCAGACATATCAGGCCTAGTGTAAAGATGAAGGATAGAAATTTAGTGTGTATAAAGACTATAAATAAGCAATTGGGTCAACCTCTTCTTGAAAAAATGCATTTCAACATTCATAATGGGCCAATAGCTATAAGTGTCAATCACTGAATGGCCTCAAGTGGCAATGAACAACTGTCATTGTGAAGGGGTAAGTTTCACATGCATGACTGTTTCTTGTCTTCTTACAGGTCCTCAGACTTGATATTTATTACTCCTATTAAAGATAGCAGTCTACTTTACAGATAAAATTGTGTGGTTTTGAATTAAATGACATCTCTTGTTTCAAAATTCCAAACCACTCCTCAACTTTGTGTTATCAAGTGTATCCCCTTCTGAACACAAATAGAAAGTGTCCACTTCCCTACAAAGTGTCACCTAGTAAGACAATGTTCAGTTATAACTAGGACCCACTTTCTGGTCACAAAACCCAATGTTTTACAGTGGAATACATGTTTATACCAAATAAACCTCTTTGCTGGGGAATCAAGCATTTGAGAGATCCAGCAGCAGCAGCTGCCTTCAAGATGTACGAGCTATTCAACGACAGGGTTTATGGTTGGAAGGGAAAGTGTAGAGACAGTGGAAACTACATCCTGTGAGACAATGCTTCATTGGCGTTAAAAGGCACATGTTCTTACAACCCACTCTTTTATCTTATCTGGGCAAAAGAGCAAGAAGAAAATTTTCATTACCTCTCGATGTCAGTGAGCCTGGAGGAGTCCCGGAACCCTTTGGCAAATGGATTGCTGTCTATTTTCAGCTTGGTTATCTGGGAAAGAAAGAATGGGTACAAAACAAGCTCATTTCCAAGGTCAAAGAAGCAGAATCAGAAATAGTTTTTTTTTTTTCATTTCCCACAGACCCCAGTAATACACTAATGTCTGCAAGCATCATGAGAAGTGATTTGAGTGAGGGACAAGTTCACAGGTGTACTGGGTCATGGCTGAGGTAGGAACGTTTGGTGGCCTTCAGGCAAAGTTGGACATGAAACTAGATTGTGAAGTATTTAAAATGCTAGGGAAAGGCTAGGGCTCAACTGGGGAAGGGGGAACTAACTACCTAGATGGGAGGGAGACCTGTGTAGAATGTGTGTTGTAGAGGTGGGGGTGAAAATGAAAGCAAAGATGCTGTCTCATCCTGACTTGGAAGCATCTCCTAACTTTTTGAGCAGGTGAATATATGCTGTAATAGATAAGATTCAATGGCCATAAAATCCCATGTTAAATACTGTACTGATATTGGCATCTTTTACATAAATACAGGATATGAAGCCTTCAGAATGTAAATTTACTACCATTATCCTTTCCATTTGACTAAGTTAGAATCAAAACAGTTTGTCAGCCTTATTTTAATGTCATATGTGTAACTATGCTTATGAAGAAACAATTACTTTCTAGTAAGAATCAATCTCCAACATTTAGTGTCTACATTATGGAATTTATAATCTTATAGTATTACTACTTACACACCCTGTGTACCATGCCTCTGAGGAAAAATATATCAGGCTGTGAAGCAAAAACAAAAACAAAAAAACAAAAACAAAAACCAAAGGAAGCACTGATGAGAAGAAACTCAGAATACAAAACCCTGTTAGCACTAAAAGGAACCTCACAGAGAAGCAAGCCTATGCCCTCATTTGATAAGCAGTCACAGTAGGGCACAAGGAGTGCAGGGACCAATGTATAGCCTGTTCCTCACTGGATTACTAACAAGAAAGCCTTTCAAGAGGATTTTAACTCGTAAAATCAAACAGTGAAATACAAGTTCATCTTTGGAGGGAGACACACACAAAATATTCTGGGCAGGGAAAAGGGAGTTATGGGGTGTGGGGTGTCCCTCCTGTTTCACACTGAAGAGAAAACAATTAAAACAGTGTTTCATATGATAACTGTAAAATTTATAAAAGTATATTGCTTGTTTATAAACAAATTTTATAACAAATGCAATTTTGAAGAAAAAAAAATAGATCAGGCTGTATCCAAAGTTCAATGCCTCGAGTTTCTCTTTTCACCATTTTCTTTTTTAAAATATTCTCAATGTGCACTACATTTACAAGGCTGCAAAGCAGCTTTTACCTCCCTAATATGTCCTCATCACCGAAGTGGCATTCCTGTCTATCTCCAGCACTGGTCGATGACAGGAAGGAGCAGCCACGCATGAGAAGAGATTTTCCTGAAGCGCTGGATGTGCATACTGCAGAGGCCACTCAGCTCTCTGCACATTTTGGTTGTTGCTTTTCATTGTAAGCAGGTCTTATTGTCTAGCATACTTCCCTTCCTGTTTAGAAATATCCATGTTTTTCTGAAAGTGATCTTCATTATCATTTTGCTGCCCTCCAGGGTGTTCTGAGCAGTTACCCTCAAGGCTCATAATAGTCAGGCTCCTTCTGTCACCTGTTGAGCCATTCATTCAGATTTGAACTTGTATCTTTCTGAATGTCAGATTTCAAGAAGAATAATACTGTTTATTCGATATAAATTATAAAAATCTTTTAAAGCCTAGACAACCAGTATGCTCTAAGATTTTAAGTTCAAGCAAAATTTCAAAATCTTAAAGGAGAAAGATGCTCTTCTTTCCACTCAGCAACTGTAATTTAAAATACTCTATGATGCTGAAGTGTCTTAAGGCTCCTGAAATGTTGGGGCAATCATTAGCCAGCACCTATGCAATGATTGGTAGCTTTGGTGCAGGGTAACACAGGGGAGAGAACACTTGCTCTCTGCCTTGACAACTCTATGGAGCAATTACAGAGATACACTGTGGAGAGACCTGGGCCATGGTGACATGGGTCCATTACAAGGTAGCAACATTAAAGGCAACTCAAACCCAAATAAAAATGTTTAACTGTGTGACCAAACAACAAAGGCAAATCTTGCTCTAACTAACACATTCTAAAATTCAAAGGTTACTGGATTTGCCAATAGTTAAAACTGTCTGGAGATAATTGCAGATGGTGTGTCTAACATGGAGGGTAACATCAGAAGTTCTTGAAGCCTTTTCTCTTCAATGTCAACCACAGCAAGCTTTACTCGGTTGCAGATGAACTAAGCAACAGAAAGAAGTGTCTATGTTATGATGGATGCTTTGTCCTGGAAAGGAATTTGCAAAAAAAAATTGTACTTGGTTTTCATATTTCCAAAGGCTAAAGTTCAGTGGCTTTAAATGAGGTGAGTGTGGCTAAAATCCTCCAGTGCCCTGATATAAGTAGAGAAATGGATGTCAATTGAGGTGTTCATGATCTAAAATTATTGCCATAACTTTGTGCCTGGAAATGAATTAAATACAGCATGAGTTTCTTTATTTCTTTGAATTATCTTTCATTATTATAATTATCTACTACTAATTTTTCAAATGTTACTTTTTATAACCTTCAGTGTGTCAATGATAGCTTTTTTTTCTCCACATCTGGATACAATTTCAAGCTTCAGGAAAACTGCAATAGGGCATGGTCCTCTGTATATTTGGACCTACTAATAAAGTGCAGTGATGATTTAATTTAGAACATTAATTAGAAAAAGAATGCAAGACAATTATCTGGTGCTTACTTTCTCTATGGATGAGTTTGACTAAACCACTAGTTTGGGGCATTAGAGGAGAAAAGAACCAGATGGGTCTGGGGTTGTGGTTGTATTATCTCCAGTGAAGACACAGCACAGAGATTGTAGTTACACTTGAGGGTCCACCTTATGTGGCTCAGTTCAACTCCAGACCCAGCACACAACCACAGCAGGAGCTCCAGACAGGTCTGTTGAGCTTCATGTTAAGAACAAACCACCAAATTATGACTTGATTTTACAGACTAGGTTAAACTGTGTGTTACTTTAAAATATTCTATGTTTTTTTCTTATTTCAAGATAAAGAAAAACACACAGATATATACATACACATATGTGTGTGCACAAGCATTCGAGTGTGTGTGTGTGTGTGTGTGTGTGTGTGTGTGTGTGTGTGTGTGTGTGTATGTGCGTGTTGCTTTTTGAGACAGATCTCTCTACATACTCCTGCTGTCCTGGAACTCACTTTGTAGACCAGGCTGGCTTCAAACACTCAGAGACCAGCCCTGCCTCTGCCTCCTAAGTGTCCATACTAAATGTTTATACCACTAGCCCAGTTGTAAAATAATTTTAAATAATAAAAGTTTTGTACTCTAAGTAACAACAGATCATAAACAGGTAAGACATTAGTATTTGAATTTAAAAGGTGGAGGTTTGCTTCTGAAGGTGTAGTTCGATATCCCTTTGTAAAATTGGGGATAATGGTAAGAACGGTTCTGAGAATGGATGAGAGGGAGTGGCTAAGTGTGATGACTGCACCTGGACCTGTCCCTTCAAACGCTGGCACAGGAAGTCTGCAGCCTGCAAAGCTGCTGCCCTGTGTTATCCTTACAAAACCAGAGGCACAGATTTTTTATCACTAAAAAAATAATTTTTAAGATTTAGTTTTATTTTATGTGTATTGTGAGTTGGTGTGTGTGAGTACTGGCAGGAGCTGGAAGAGGGAGTCTGATCCTCTGGAATTGGATTTAGAGGTGGTTGAAAATTTCAAGATGTAGCCTGCTGTTGGTGGCTCACACCTTTAATCTCAGCACTGGGTGGGGGGCAGAGGCAGACGGATCTCTGTGAGTTCGAGGCCAGCCTGGTCTACAGAACTAGTTCCAAGACTGCCAGAGCTGTTATACAGAGAAACCCTGCCTCAAAAAATGAAAAAGGAAAAAAAAATTCCAGATGTAAATTCTGGGAACCAAACCCCAGTCCTCTGCAAGAGCAGTGCATGTTGTTGATCAAGAAGCCATCTCTCTACTCCTCCAAATCAGTTTTTAAAAGCAATATTCTTCACTTAGTGAAGAGAAAGTATTGACAAATAAGTATAGCACTATATACCTAAAAAATCCTATCACTCATATGTTCATGTAAATTCAAAGACTTGTGTTTCTACCATAATTGCAATAACACATAGTGTAAAGCCTATGCTAACCAGAAACTTCATTCTTTGTATCATTCCTATTCTCTGTATGTAAATGCATGCACAATTAAGAGGGCAGATTTTTGATGCCACGAGCTGTGCCCGAGAAGGACAACTTTACAGTGTATGTTATTCTTATCCACTGTCACAACACTAGACTCTGGATCCAGCTGGGGCCCCAGCCATAAGGTAAAATTGGCCCTTGGAGACCATTTCTCCAATTATCAGGAAAAGATCTGACCGAAGGCATTTAGAAATGAAACCTGACCTACACTTCAACTCCACAGCAATGATCTGCTGGCTCAAAAACAATGCATGACCTTTAAATCTTAAATTATAAAATAGTTTGTTGAAAGTATAATGTATTTAGCGTTTATCTAATAATGTAAAGAAATGCAATCATCCCCTTGCAAAAAGCAGAAGAAGAAATGGGTAAAAAGGTCCCATTTTCATTAATTCTAAATAAAGCTACCGGCCTACCAGCCACAATAAGTAAGAAGGTTACACACACACACACACACACACACACACACACACACACACTTTGGGGAACTTTTATTTGAAAATATCAGGCATAAAAATAATGGTCATATTGTAAGTTTAAGACATAGGGAAATGGTCCAAATGGTAACTTTTAATCCCCCCCTCTTCTGATCTTAGTTCTTCATGCATGGAAAACTTTTTGTTGATGCTATACATAGTATGTATTTCCTTTGCAACCTATTTATCTCATTGTGTTCACTGTAAAGTAATACATGCAGTGTGGCAGTGAAAAGGCAGTTGACTCCAAGAGGCCTGAAGGTAAGGTAATAAGACAGCATGCGACCTACTGAAAATGATAATTCCTGAAGTGATTTCTAAAGAGACCTGTATCAGTTTTATTCACTGAAGCAAATCTATCAGCCATTAGCACAACTGCCCTGCTATACTAACCCACACTTTTGGGTGGTTTTATGCTAATGATGGCATTAAAGGTGGACTACAGAAATAAACTCAGGGATCTAGTATGGGAGATGCTTTTATTGTGGGCTCTGCAGTGATGAAATGGTCTATTCAGTCTATTAATCTTTATACTTTATGATACCATCAAAGCTGATGGGCTCTTGTGACTGAATTTTGAACCCACCTGTATTATCAAGTATAAAAATGAACATTAGTGAGAGGAGTAATTAGTGTCAGAATCTGTTTTAGTTAGCATTTTAACTTATTTTAAAATAGTAACTTTTCCAAATCCAGCTTTCAAACTATTGATCTTGGAAGTCATTACTTTATTGTCCTTGCAATCCAACCAAAAGGGGGGAGTTAGGACCCAGAAGGTCAAACCTTCTTGACAGGTTTGGCACTTATCAAATATGTAGCCTTGAATGAGTGTCCTAACCACTTAGAACTTCAGTTTCATTATCAACAAAATGACACTCACAGGACTTCCACTGGGGATTGTCAGAATTAAATAAGATTACTGAGAAAAATGTAGAAGGATTTTTCTGAATTAAAATAACCAAACTAGACTATGAATTTTCGTTGGAGTTTAGTACAGGGGAGGAAACAAAATCACAATGGTCATTAATGGTTAATACTAAAATTTAAATGAGCTGACTACTGTAGAGTATGAAGGTATATTTCCAACCAATCTTCTGGGCTGTCATAAAGACATTATGTTCACAACAACAATATTGTCACAGTGGGAACATGCTTGCTGGAGTAGGCCTCAGTTGATGAGACTAGTGCATCTTAGTTTGGAATGGCAGAACAGTACGGACAGGGAAAAGAGGAGTGGACAGATTGAAGCAAACATGGTAAAAAATTAATCGTGAAATCTGATTGGAGGGGATGGGGAGTTCATTTGACCACTTGTTTGTAGACTTTTTTTTTGACATTGAAGTTTTCCAGAATAAATAGATTAGTGAAAAAACAATCCCATGAGACAATCACATTAAAGCACATGGTATCCATTGACTCAAGTGAGCCCTTTTGTAGAGGACAGTAACTCCCAAATGACAGTCGACAATATGTGAACACAGCCCCACATGGCAGAAAAAAGATGAGTGCTTTATGTGTGTGGGGGGGGAGGGAATAGCTTAAAACCATCTGGGAAAGATGTCTGGGTGTCCATCAGGGCCATACGCTGAGATGAAAAGTGTTCTGCCCCCTGAGAAGGGCTGCTCAGCTTAGAAGTCTAGGACTCTAACTGCCTTGCTTCAAATCCATGATGGGCACAGCAAGCACCATCAGTGACTCATTTAACTCGTGCCTCTATTTCCCCAGCTGCATATTACATAATAAAAATACTGTTTCTCACCGGGTGTTGGTGGCACATGCCTTTAATCCCAGCACTCGGGAGGCAGAGGCAGGCAGATGGATCTCTGTGAGTTCGAGGCCAGCCTGGTCTCCAGAGTGAGTGCCAGGATAGGCTCCAAAGCTACATAGAGAAATTCTGTCTCAAAAAAAAATACTGTTTCTCTGATTTAATAATAATTACTGCAAAGATTAGATAAGAAAATACCCTTTAAGTCGCACTGTGTGCAACAGCAAGCACCTGAATTCTATCCATCCTTATGTAATCTATGCACTATGGCAGAAGGCCTGCTGGTATTTATTTAGGACGCTTCCTCCACCTATTAAAACAAATCTAAGGTATTGCATGTGGAAACTCCCCTCCATATTTGTTCTAACTCATTGCATTTCAGTTTTTAAAAACAAATGTGCAACTGACTTATTCTAGCTTTGGTCCTCTTTAAACAGCACTGAAGTTTCATAGGACACCTTTCTATTTCATTCCAAAACATCCGTAAGGTTTCTTAAAGTGTTATAATGTAGCATTTTATCATAAAATTACACATTCACTCAGTGTAAATGAGCTGAATAATTTTCTGAACTTTCGAGACCCACTTTCCATGTGCTTTCAAATACAAGTGAGCCTGTGGCTTCAAAGGTACAGGTCTTCTGGGCTTCAGCGTGTTGTGGACTTTAGTCTAGTCACAAAGTTTTTCTTGGATATTCTGTGTTCATTTTGCTCATTCTTTGTTTATTGTGGAGAACAAAAGAGATGACACTTTGTTTATATAAGGTAATTTACATAACAACTATGCACTGATTTATCTTAGCAAATATGCCAACAAAGTTTTAATTTCATACATTTATTTAAAGGTGTGTGTGTGTGTGTGTGTGTGTGTGTGTGTGTGTGTGTGTGTGTTTTCTCTAGGGATCTGACTCAGGTCATCAGGTCACAGGTGCCTTACCTGTTGAGCCATCTCCGTGTGGAAATCACTGACATTTTAAAGTCCAAGTGTGGGTAAGTACTCTTGGCATTCCTGAACAGTCCAACATCACAGTTTCCAAGGCACGTTTGTGCATATCATCACATCTTAGTTTCACTGCAATCTCCAATAGTGGTCTGCTTGGTTCTAAGCCCTAGCTTACAAGTAAGGGAAAGTAGAGTGATACTTATGGAACAAATCTCAAAGTCATATAGAAGTTACAGGCACATGAGCCTGCTCCATCTACTCTGGCCATCCTTAAGTATGTCTTCTGTCTGTTTCCACTTTTGTTTTTTAAGATTTTATTTATTTATTTTATGTATGTGAGTGCTCTTCCAGTTATGTACACCTTAATTCCAGAAGAGGGTATCAGATGCCATTATAGATAGTTGTAAGCCACCATGTGGTTGCTGGGAATAGAACTCAGGACCTCTGGAATAGCAGCCAGTGCTATTAACCACTGAGCCATCTCTTCAGCCCCATTTCCACTTTCTTATTTGCTTCCAGCTCTCTCCTGCCTTTCCAGACTCTCTGAACCTCCTCTGCCTGACCCACCCTTGTGGGATTGTTGATTCTCACTCAGTGGGTAGCACCTGATTGTTATCTATTCCAACCCACAAACAACAACAGCATGGCAAGAAGAAGGCAAGCACCCTAACTACTTACAGCTAATCAAACAAAAGCAAGACGAAGAGCTTTGAACAGCCTCATTGTTAATCAAACTGCAGGTGTGAACAGCTTTCACTCCAAGGAATTCTACTTCCTGCTTTTTTTTTTTTTTTTTTGACTACAGGAAAATTCCCTCTTTCTTCCCCTCAGCTTCCTTACCATTTAGCATCACTGCTGCTACAAACTTGCCAGCATTCTGCTGACCAAGAAAGAATAAAGCATTAGAGCATGTACCTAACAGCATTTAGCCTTTGTGGGACATAAGTATTTACTTATGTAAATATTATACATGCAAATAAGGCTCAAGTTGGAAATATGGTGTATATGACAAGGAGTAGTAGAAGATATAACCTTATGATGTGAACTGGATATCTTGATATCAATAAAATACCCAACTGAAACTTATTATTTAAAGAGATATTCACAACCATTGTACTTATCCTAAATTGTGGTTAATCTAGCCTCACAAAGTATCTCAAGGATTAGTAACTGGGACAGCTGTGTAAAGGTGTGTGCTTGTCAAAACAATCACCCATGCTTCTGCAAGGGGAGGAAAAGGTAGAAGCAAGAGCTCCCTGCAGAAGGCACACTGGGGTGGATTCAAGTTAGGGAGCAGTCACCAGACAGTCTGTACTACAGAACAAAGTCCTAAAAGATAACTGATGCAATACATGACCCCTGGGGACATGATGCTCTGATGCTGACATTCAGTCATTCCAAAGGAGCTTCTGTTTTGAGTACCAGGAAAACCCTTGTGCAAGAACCGAACTGCAAAAGACCCACTCACCAGCTGGTTCTGGTAGGCCGTGACTGCTGTGAACACTGTCTCTGGAAAGATGAATGTTCTGAATTCTTCCGACTTCAGATTGAGCAGGGAGGCCGTGTGGTCTTTCTTCTTTATGATATGCACTCGAGGCTGGTACTTATGCATTGAATTCAAAATTATCTACAGTGAAGAGATGGGAAGTCCTGAGTTTTACATCCTTAACCCATCCAATCTACTTCAAGTTCAGTGGAACCACCCCTTTCCCTTCCTCTGTCAAGTCATTTTCATACAATACCAAGTCGTGGAGGGGAATGACATTTTACCAAAACAACTGCAAATCACAAGAGCTATCTTCTAAAATGATGGAGACAGGAAAGAAGTCATTTGTAGGGGATGTTCTATTATTAAAGTGTGTGTGTGTGTGTGTGTGTGTGTGTGTGTGTGTGTGTGTGTGTAGTGTGTGTAGTGTGTGTAGTGTGTGCGCACACACGTGTTTCTTCGGGTGTTCCTGTTCATGTAGGCACATGTGCTTATTCATATGAGGTGAACACTGGGTGTTTTCCTCAGTCTCTTTCTCTGGACAGAATTTCTCACTGAATACAGCCAGTGAGCTCCAGGACCCAACTGTCTCTATCCTACAGCACCCCTTGTTAAAACTTGGCTTTTATGTTGGTGCAGGGGATCCAAACTAAGGCCCTCAAGCTTATGTGCCAGGCATGTTACCAACTGAACTACCTCCTCACACCAAGTTTTATTAATTTTTCAAAATCAACCCTTGGGCCAATGAGACGTCTCAGTATGCAAAGATGCTTGCCTCCAAATCTGATGAATTGGGTTTGATTCCTGGGAGCTACATGATGGAAGGAGAGAACGGACTTCTGTAAGTTTTCCTCTGAGCTCCATACATGCTCTGTGACATAAATGTACACATGTACACTCACACACAGACACAGACACAGACACACACACACACACACACACACACAAATAAATAAATAAATAAATAAATATATTTGAAGATCTGAAGACATGGCTCAGTGGTTAAGAGCTCTTGTTGCTCTTGCAGTGAATCCAAGTTCCAGTCCCAACAGCCATGCGGTGGCCCACAGCCATCCATTAACTCCAGTTCCACAGGATCTGATACCACCTTCCATTTCTGACTTCCATATGACCACCAGGTATACACATGATGCATATACATGCAGGCAAAACACTCAAACACAGAAAGTATTTTCTTGGTTTTTGATCTATTTAGATCATAAAATGCATGTTTAAATTTTCTAAATAAAATGTAATATTTTATAGGAGACCAGACTGTTATGTACAGAAGAAAAAGGTAAGATGATTTAGAAATACAGTATTGCATTAGACAGACAAGGGTTAAAATCCCAAAACTTCCACTTCATAGCTCTTTTATCTTGGCCAAGTGAGCAAACCTCTCCAGCCTAGGCAGCCTCAAATGCAAACATGATGCCAACTACACAGGGCCATAGTGAGGATAGAGGATGTGACTTTTAATTTTACTTTTATTATTTGTGTGCCCACACATTTGTACAGGTACCCATGGAGGCCAGAAGAGGGCACTAAATCCCTTTGAGCTGGAGCTACAGGCTTTTGAGAACTGCCTGGCAGGGAGTTAAGGTCTGAGCTCAGATTCTTTAGACACAAAAACAAGTGAACCTAACCACTGAACCTTCTTGACTATCCCTAAAGACTGTAGCCCTTGTAAATCACACAGGAAATAGGAAGTGCTCAAAAATAGGAACTGTTTTTGGAAAAAAAAACTTACAATTTCCAGTTTTAAAACTAAAATTGAATCAATGTCATGGCCATCTTCCATTCTGTAGCTACCAAAAGTTGTAAGTTCTTAGCCATGATAAATATATCTTGGTTAAAAGGTTAAAAGTGAAGAAATAGTGTTCTCATCTATCCTACGACTAAAATATAAATATTTTGCTACTATATAAAATGAGCAACAAAACATTTTTTTCCTTGTTTGCTCACTTATGTGTTTGTTTCCAGGCAGGGTTTTACTGTGTACCCCAGGCTGGTCCTAAAACCTTGGTAGTTTTCCTTCCTCTGCCTCTTGAGTGCTAGGATTACAGGCATGAGCTACCACATTTGACTGAGCCAAACTCATTTTTAGGTATACAATGTTTCCCACATGTCTCTACTGGCAGACAGCTACTTAAATTCACAAAACCAGTCTGCCTTTTCTGGAATTGGGGGTTCAGCTGTATCCTTTCTTCAAACACCTTTGAAATCCCCTGGCCTCAGAAAGCACCCCATAAACATTGCATTGGGCTCACGAGGTGATTTTGCTATGTAGACATGTCGACCAAAGGGCCCCTTGCTTTCTTGACTATCGTGGATGGACATGGTGCCGGAGGGAGAGTTTCTGCTGAGTGTGTTTACAAACTCTCCACTAGATACTGACGGTAATTGATGCATGGTGGACATCTGCATCTTTGTGTGACCCCTCTGTAGATTTAAACAACCTTAAATAGGGGCAGGCATGGTGGTGTGTGCCTTTAATCCCAATACTCAATACTCGGGAGGCAAAGGCAGAGGCAGGTGGATCTCTGTGAGTTTGAGTTCAAGACCACGCTGGTTTAAATAGTGAATTACAGGACAACCAGGACTACATAGAGAAGCCCTGTCTCAAAAAACCAAAAATTAAATGAAATAAAATAACAAACTTAGATCAGAAATATTGGGCCTACACTGAACGTATATACTTTTTTCCTTGCCTTTATTCCCTAAATGATTCAGACTAATTACTATTCACATAACATTTGCATTGCTTTAGGTATTACCAGTAGCCTACATACTACTCACAATATAGATGAATTATATGTCAATGGTATCCCATTTTATATAAGTGACTTGAGCCATGGCTTTGCTATTTTCAGGACACTTTAGAACCAATACCCATAGAAATGATAGAACAACTGACCACCTAGTCAGTGTCTCTTTCTGTCAATCTCGAGTCATTGAATGGGACTAAATTTTGTACCTGTCATTCTTTCAGGTCTCAAACGGGAAGAAAAGCAACAAAGCAGAAAGAAATCTCCAAATATATTGAAACAAGTTTTGAAAAAGAACATCATTTGTCTGTATAATGTACTTCCTACAAGGAGTTCAAAACAATGTGACTTGATTAGAGATCTGGAGCCAATTTGAAGTAACAAAAGCAAATATTTGTCTCCTAATATAAAATGTTTTTACAGCATTCCTTATATGTTCAACTAAGAAGATAGAAGGACACTGAAATAACATCCCCTTCTACTCCCAACCCTCCCAAACTGTTTCCTTCAGTAAGGGGTACAGAACAACCTCAGACTCCAAAGCCTGCTGACTCTGCTCCAACCCTCATAGAGCTAGGAACTACGAACAAAAATGGAAACCCTGTTTTCCTCAGGAAATACCCTCTGGGGAATAGTGGATGTTCTTGTCAGAGACTAAAATGTACATCTGTGAAAAGACAGACAGAGAAGGGGGAGGGAGAGAGAGAGAGCCTTTGGGGATGGAGATATGGCTGGGGGTTAAGAGCCATCTCCCAGAGGAGGGGTCAGTTCCCAGCATCCACATGACAGCTCACAACTGTCTATAACTCCTGTTCCAGGGGATCCAACACCCTCCCACAGACAAAACACCAGTACATATAAAATAAATATAAATTTAAGAGACATAGGGAGAGGCACAGGAGAGAAAGAGCAAGAGAGAGAGAGAGAGACAGAGACAGAGACAGAGACAGAGACAGAGACAGAGACAGAGAAACTTTCATCAAACTGATTCCAAGAAACTGGTTAAATATTGAAGTACCTAAGAATCCTTCTCAGTTTCAGAAGACACCAATTCTGCTGACAAAGGGTAATACCAAATCATACAGGTTTTTGGGCTAAAGTAAATGTAAATAGCCACCGAAAACTGAACAATTTGACAAGATCTATTGCCACACAATTGGGCTAGATCTCAGAATTCTTGAAATCCAGCTATCCAGCTGATGCTAAAATAAACCATTTAAATTCTGGGTAAATAATCTTCCATTTAAGTCTAAAGTCTTTCTGGAGAATCCCAAATAATTCTCAAATTTTCACATGTAGAAAATGCAAGAGAAATTTTTTCTAATTGTACTTTCTTTCTGCAAAGATTTCAGTTGGGACCTAAAATATTTTAATATGAATCACATTAAATAGGATTGATGACTGACCTACAAAGAATATCTCATATAGTTCATAAATCTTAACCTGACAAAAGATCCACTGAGTGGAAACATCTTCTATTTTTCTCAATTGTCAAATTATGCCAACACTGTAAGGGTCTATTATCTTTCCTCCAGGTGAAACCTCGGAAGGTCCTTAGCCTACTTTCAGTGTCTCTAAATGCTACCCACAGTCACAAGACAACCTGGTCACCCTGATGTGGCTGTAGTAAGCAAGGAAGTTCTTCTTGAGCACAAGGATAGGGAAACCAACTCAAATCATTTGTTTAGTTCTAGATTCAATTCAACTATTTGAAATCATCTCTAGAAATCTCTTGTTTATTGTCCATTTCCAGCCATTTCCCTCTACATTTCACAGATCCAAAAAAAACTAAGCCTTAAAGTCACAAGAACCTTATTTAGTAAAAAAGATCAGAGCAACTATATAATTATTATACAACTATAATAATAATCCAAGGATTTCAAATCAAAGGAAAGAAACTATGAAAGAAATTGTGTTCTTTCCAACAATAAAGACAAAAACACAGAAATAATCTCTTCAAATGAAGCATGCAAATCTGCCTGGAGTTTCTCACATAAAGCCTAAAAGAGAATTTGTAGATATATTTCTACTTAAGAGCATTGAATCCTAGGGCTTGGGAGGTATCCCAGTGAGTAAGAGTGCTTGTCCTGAAAGCAGAAGGCCCTAAGTTCAAATCTCCAGCATCCATGTAAAAGCTTGGCACAGCTGTGTATACCTGCAACCTCAGCACTAGGGGAAGAGAGAGGATCCAAGGAGCTAACGGACCGGCTAGCTTGACTGAGACAGCAGGCTTTGGTTGTGGGAGAGACCCTGTCTTGATATAGTAAGGTGCTTTTTTGTCAATGGTTATTTGCTTTATCAACTACTGATAGACACTCTGAACTGTATTTTCTCTTTTTCCCACAACCAACAACTCTTTTTCCCACATTACAATGAACTCTTGATGGACACAAAATGAAATGTGTTCTTGTTTGGCTTGCTTTGCTTTTTGAGACACGACCTTGGTTGGGATGTGTTATTTGGACCAGGTTAGCTTCCTCCTGCCTCCACCTTCCCGGAAGAGATTACAGGTAAGCACCATGTCCCCTAGTTTGTTTATAATTGCAATTATTGTCTGTCTTAACACTTATGCTGCTCTCCCCAAAAGGGACAAAATGGCTACAGCCAGTGCAGACAAAACTGAAACTGGGAAAGAAGAGGAATGGCAGCTCCTGCCAGGAGACAGGCAGCCTCTCTGGGTTCCTTTTAGGGAGAAAAGAGACGGACCTGATTTTACAGTTTGATGTATCTGGTGCAGAGCTGGGTCACTGGGAGTGCCTAGCTGGGTCTAGAGCATTAGCAGTCATAAGTGCTCTGAGCTCCCTTCCAAACACCCTCCCTCTAAGGAACACACCTGAGGGTATTTTCCTCCTGGCTTTCAGATTGCCTTGCTGTATTCCAAAGAGATATGTGAATTACAAAGGGAAGATTAACTGAGTCAGAGTTTGCTCTAGACTGTAGGTTTGCCCTTTAATGGACGCTTTAGTCTTCCACCAGTCTGTGCAGCAACATACAATGTGAGTCAACAGCTTTGCAGGCTTATTTGGAAATGAGGCCCTCTGACTCTGCTGCACCTCACTCGAATGATGCGCTCTGCAAAATGCACTTAGGAGGCTCCCACACGAAGCATTAGTCCTACTTTTTAAGAGAGATTATTAATATACTAACATGCATAAGATGCTTAACCCAAAAATACATTTGCTGGCCTCCCCAAATGCACGTTTTCTTGGGGGGGGGGGGGAATGTGGTAAAGTGATTGCAAACATGTTGGGAGATCCTTGGCACACAAGATCCCAGACCTTGTTGTACCACAGTGCCACATGGCATCCTCATGAATGACTTTAACAAAAGCAGTCAAGGTCCCCTGGAGAACATATGCATGTTCTCATACTCAGAGATGGACATCAAGATGTTCAGAAGAAGACAGCAGGAGCTGGGGGAGGGAGAGGGAGGGGGGAAAGGATATTTCATATAATGTGTCCATTGTATCTCGGGTAGCCTGAAGATCCAAGGCTCTGTACTTACATGGCCATGCTGATCAAGTTCATTGTTGGTGAGTTTCACCTTTTCAAAAGACACCATCTGTTTGAGGAGCTGTTCGCCAGTAAACGGGGAGTCTGGATGCACATAGAGCCTGAAAGGAGTATTAGAGAGTTTTATTGAGGTGTGTTTTAAGACTCTGTCTTGAACTAAGAATATTGACACACATATCTGTCATCTCAGCACTCAGAAGGTTGAGGCAGGAGGATTTAGAGTTTGAAATTAGCCTGGGCTATGTTGTGGGATCCTGGATCAAAACACAACAAAATTCCATCTTTATTCTAAATGTTTTGATTCTAAAGGAACATGTAAACATCATGTAAGGGGCACATTTCATTTGTCCCATGTACCTTTAATTTATTAAAACAGCAATGCTGAGATAACTCCAAAGCCTCTAACAAACTTCTTCATGTCCCAGAGATCTTAGAAGTTTGAATGTTTCCTATTATGTGCTGAACAAGCCATTTTTCAAGATTGAGTTGTTTCTGTCTTTCTTTTTCTTTCTTCCTTCTAGTCTACTGGTCTACATTTATCAAATACATGATCTTAATAATAGAAGCATTTAAAAATGGTTACAATACTGTATAAGTTTCTAATGTAGGCATTACTGTAAAGTGATGAAAACAATTTAGATGAAGAAATAATTTTAGAGAATCAACTCATTTAAAATTAAATGTGACTCCGTTTAATTTGCTAATATAAGACTGGCTAATTTTCAACACAAGAAACAGAGAGTGTTTTCTAGTCTATAGATCAGAAATGAGAGCTCACTGCCCTGCCCACTCCACCACACAGCTTCATTGCCATCTGTTTATGTACTGCTAAAGGAGTTTTAACAATTTAAATGAACCTCTGGCTATTAAATTGATTCATTTATAAAAAGCTTAAGCAAAAAAAAAAGCTTTGGCAAGAAAAATCTATTGTTTATTGATTAGTTGCTATGTGGAAGGAATACACACTCACTGTAAAAGAAAGGCCAGCTATTCTCTCAACCTCCCCTCCCCCGTTGTCACACTAAGTACAGCACTTTGTAAATCTTAACTCTGATGTCTTCCTCACAAAATCTTTCAAAATGGAAGTGAGATGAATGAATGAATGAATGAATGAATGAGAAGGAAATACTCTTTTTTCATAAGACAAATTATTTTTCCCTTTTCCCCTTTCTTTTCCTTTTGTTTTCCTTTTCTTCTTTCTTTCTTTCTTTTTCTTTTTTTGCTTTTGTGCTGGGAATTGACCTTTGGGCTTTGTGCATGCTAAGCTCATGTTGTATCAAGGAGCTATATCAGCAGCAGCCCTGACAAATTCCTTTACCCACATGTCAACTTATTTATGTATAACTTTACATAACACCCTTGTAGCTAGAATTTACAAATGGTTTTCCCGGGAAAAGGCAGAAAAATGGGGGGGGGGCATAGAACAAACATTACTGGCAACATTTGGGTAAAGAATGAGAAGTCTGTGCCATGGTCTACCATACAGAAAGACCTAGATGGGAAGAATCTATACCCTTGTATGAAGCAGGTCAGGAATGGAGCAGTGAGGCTGATAGCACCAGAGCCCCGCCCAACCCACGGGGGAACTCTGCAGGCCTCAGAAGCTTGTCTCTTTTATTGTTTCCCCGAAGGTGCTCATAAATGCCTTGTAAATAAGAGTATCCTTTGATAGTTCAAATTCAACAGCATGTCAAGTTTTATTTCTCCAAAGGTATAACTTTATAAATACTAGTATTTTATTGATGAGTATCACATCTCCCAATTTACTAAAAGATCTAGAAATTGATGACATGTTCTCCCTTTATCATATCACTATATGTAATTCACATTAGCACAGATATGAACTTAAGTATAAATTATAGTAGTGGTATGGAAATGTAGCATTACTTTTGGTCATAAATAATGCTGTACCTGTTACAACTACCAAATAATATTATCAAGTATTGGGTTTCTTGATTAGAAATCACTGACTTCAGTCTGAGGAAAAAAAAAGGCTTCTTAGATTTAGAAGTTTCTTAGAAACTGACTTTCTATCATGGGCTCACGCATTCTAATTTCCCAAGTTCCTTCATCTATGGAGGGGGGGATCTAGGAAACTATTTTCCACAATAATAATAATAACAACCAGGAATTTCCACAAATTATCTGAAATGTCTGCATTTCATGGTTTTATCTAATATTAGTTTAAATAAGCCAAAGCAGGATACATGAAACAACATACAGGAACCCTCTCCTCCCTTACCCCCTCCTCCAGACCTAAAATTCCAGCCATAGCTTACACATGCTTCAGTTAAGATAGCACATTGGTAGGCACTTTTCTTTCTCTAACCAGAACAGATTAGAAACATAAACAAGCATGTCATATTTATGAAGTCCCACTGCCCTGAAGCATTTGGCCATACTTTCAGAGAGGAATAAAATGAGGGATACATAAAAGACTAAAGAAAAAGAAAGGCTAGAGAAAGCAAAAAAAATGAATGTGTGCTTAGAAAAATGGTTAGGAATCTGCTCAAATTCATGCCTGCCTCCCTTCTCTTTTCTCCTTGAGATCCATGGTAAAAAGAAAGGAGAAAGCATGCATTAGTGTGCCCCGTCATAATGAAAGCAGTCTGCATGCTGCAGCATGAGGACCTGGAGAGTCTGAACTACATAATAAGAGCCTATCTCAAAAAAAAAAAAAAAAAAAAAAAAAAAAAAAAGGTTTTTAAAAAAATTTTCCTGCCATAAACAGGGTGTCAACATGCAGAAGACTGATTGGCTTTTCAGAAGTAAATAATAGAAAAATATAATATAGGTAACATAAAGTATTGTTTTTTTTTCACTTAGAAGAACAAATTGCCATTTACAAGTATTTCTTAGTCCTAATTGTTTTATATGTTGACTTGGAAGGCAGCTTTCCTGCTCTGAGCGCTGGTATCTGTTTCCTGGTGCCTCCAACAGGCTGCAAGCCCAACAATGTGATCTCTGCTGGTGAAGGGGATGCTCCTCGGGACGGTGTCCACCACCCTGCTGAGTCTGTGGGGTCTGTAGCTGCAGACTAGATGCTTACCAAGAACCTGCCACACATTCAAGGATCTGCACTTTGAGAATGTTAGGCTGTAATCTAAATTCGATCAATTACCAAAAGTTGGTCATGAAATGTGCAGTTTCTTACTCAAAACAATGGAGTCAACACATGTTATTTGCTTTATACTAGCATCTGCAGCCAGACTCCTGTAATTTCAGCTTGTATGCTATTCCTCCTGAATGCTCATGGGAAAGGTTCACAGGGACTTTTTAAAAACATTATTAGCAAAGGTAACCAAGGAAACAAGCTGCATTGTCTTCAATTTATTATCTTTATTTAAGGTAAAAGAGTATTAATGTATTGAATTATGTTTATCCATCAAAATTGTGGAGAGGGAAAGAAATTGCTCCCCTTGCCTAAAACGTGTGAATCTTCTATGGTTCAAAACCAACTAGTTTTACCCAGATGACGCTAATTACACGTGGATATAATCACACTGTTAGCAAATGGCTAAAAATGTCATAAATATATTATGCAGATAGGGCAACTAGTAGCACATTTATTCTTACTCTAAACACACTATCAGAAATATTATACATATATCTCCAAAAGGTCACATTTCTAACAAATATTCAAACTGAAATTTCACAAATATCTGGGATTAATTTTGAGAAGTAAAATTAAAGGCAACGTTTTCTCTGTGCACCAACTTGACCCTTCTTGAAGACTAACCAACAAGTTTTGTATTCAGTCCTGCCTGCGGTATCCGGCTTGGGTCTTGGAAATCTCTCATGCCAGAACCCGGTGCTTAAAAACAACTTGCTTAAACTTCACCTAAATCGGAAGGGTTAATACTACTTTAATCTGCAAGAAATCCAAAGTCACGAACCTGGCTGGCAGGGGAGGGTCGGCCTTGCCGGCCACCAGCCATGAGGACCGGTGGTAGGCGTAGCGATACCTCTTGTTGTCCACCGGGACGATGTCCATCAGAACTATGTACTTGGCCTCAGGATCCACCCCAGAAAATGACACGCGGATGGTCGGGAACATCCTCCTGGTGGGGAGAGACAAAGAGGCGGGATTCACTCTTTGTAAAGAGCTGACCCGAATTAGGGAGAAAGGAAGAAATTTTGAGCCGCCCGCTGTGCGGTCCCCAGTTCCCCCTTTGGTTGTTGGTGGTTTTGTTTGCTTGTTTGTTCTGTTTGGTTTATGAACCCTCAGAGAAGTGCTTATAGAGACAGGACTTTCCGCGCAAAAATGATTCTGTCTCTTTTACAGGGGCCCCTACTGGTAGGTAAAATTTTTGAGCTTGTTTTGCTTTCTCCCAAATAACCAGCGGTGACTCAGTTGCTCAGCCCATCAAAAATCCCAGGCATTCCTGGGGGAGGGGATTTGTGGAGTTGGCTTCTGAGACCGAACAGGAATTGCCCAGAATCTGGCTCTCCGGAGCAGCCCGACTCCCGCGCCCAGGGCAACTGTTGAGGCCTCCTCCCAACCCGGCTTTCAGCAGAGATTTTATTGGAGACGGGAAGCTTCCGCAGTCTGAATATAACCCGCAGCTTCTCCCTCCCCGTCCTGTAGTCCCAAGCCTAGCTCCCGCCAACCCGGCCTTGCTCGGAACCCAGGATGCCTGGGTGGGAGCAAAGACCGCACTGCGCCAGCAAGGTCCCCATCTCCGGGTGTGATGTCTTGCAGCCAGACCCTGCGATTGTTTCTAGGGTGACCCCAGCCCCGCAGCTCCCACTCCAGGCCCCCAGGAGCGCAGTAGAAAGCCTTTGCTCAGTCCGCTTCCGCCCATGCCAACTACCTTCCCGACTTGGTGATGATCATCTCCGTGCCCAGTTCATGGAATTTGTCCCAGAGCTCCTTCGTTTCCAGGCTGCAGGCGATTTTAGCCATCTCCTCGCTGGGGATGATGGGGGTGGTGGGGATCAGTGGCTCTGTGCATAGAGAGGATGAGGAAGGGCTGCCGCCCCCGCTGCCGAACTCTGCGTGAGCATCCAGGCTGGTGAGCTCACCCAGGGGCTGGGCGCAAGATGACTTCTCCACGAATTGTTCTGGAGGCAGTGAAAAAAGAAGAGTGACTACAGACAGTAGTAAACTGTAGGAAGGAGCTGGGCGGAGTACCCAGAACAAGGTACTTGGATGTGAAGCCGCTAAACTCTGAAACTCCAGCAGAAAAGCATGATCCATCACAGGGCAAAACGTACCTGGGACATCTCTGGGCCGGGATGTTAAACTAACCAAGTGACCAGGATCCATCTAGAACCAGGGCCTATTACCGACGTGGCTGAAGCCACCTTAGGAATAAAATACGAGTGAAGAGCCGGGAAAGTTGTGATCTTGGGGGATAAAATGTAAATATTACTACAACCATCCCAAATTCTAGGCTTTGCAGCTACAGAGGGTGGCACTAGAAAGATAATAGCATCTAGCCTATTAAATCACAGGGGTAGGCTCTAACAGACTTGTTTGTATGCTTGAAGACAGGGACAGATTACTGGCGAGATCCTCCAAATAGCCCCAGAAGTGAGGGAAACAACTTCAACCCCAGTCTAGCAGGAAATTAAAGAGAGCGAAGAATGTTTTTGCCACCTAGCAGTGGTTTGGAATATCGCTGCCTATGAACCCGATGTTCTCCTGGATAGCTGTTAAGACTAAAACTCCACGGTAACTTTGGTGGAATACGGGGTGGGGGTGGGGTTCAAAATCCGGCCGTTTATCTTTATTAAAAAAGAAACTACCTCCATCTGCAGTGTGGAGCTAACCCTACAACCAAGCCAGTATATTCTAACTGCTCTCAAGGTACACCAACCAGTTCTAGCTGCACGCATGCACATGCACATGTGTGTGGTGTGTGCTTGAGTTTGTTGTGAGTTGCTTTCTTATTCTTACTGTGAGGCTAATAGAAAATAGGGTTTTGCCCTTTCTTCCCATACAGTGATAATCCAGCTAACGAGGTGTTTTAAATGAAGGACAATCAATTGAATGCCATGTAGGTTGTTTCCAAATCAAAGGGAACTGGACAGTACCAACGTCTTATTTTCTTGAAACACTTTTGGAGGAAATTCATACCACATATTTACAGGGAATCTAAAAGCAACCCGAATTTCTCATATTTTCCAGCAACTGACAGGTAAGCTCTCTCAAAGCCACCTGGCCTGAGCCTCACAGAAGTGGAGAAGGAAGACAAGAAAACAAGCAGTTATTTTGAGTAGAACTGATATACTTCAGTGGTGGAGCATGGGGCACTTTGGAAACCCAACCTTTACAGTTTTGTTTTGTTTTTCAGTAAAAACATCCCACTGTCCCTTAACAGAACCTTTAGGTGTTTGTGTTGCCAAGCCTTCAGTTTATTTATTGTGCTCTTTTGGGCTGCTGAATGGCTAAGAAAGTACTGGACAAGAGCTGTTCTCCAAACAGGTGAACAAACTCCATTGGGAGACTGGAGGGAGTAGATGGGGGAGGCTGTTAAGAGCTGGAATTGGCTTAGCATTTAAAATTTTTAATTTTGATTGAAGGGGGATTTTCTTAGAAAAATTAAAGAAAAGACCAATGTAGACATGACAGTGGTGGAGTTGCCAAGCTTCCCAGCCCACTGCTCAAGTCTGTCAAGAATTTTGACCTGAGATCTTCTTTTCCTAATGGGTACCAAAATGAGATGGAGGTGTTCAAAAACAATCCCCCTAAATAGGAAGGATAATGACACCGATACCACATCTCAACAGTCCAATTTTGAAATTAGTAGCCAATGCTACATCTAAAACACGAGGACTTGGTGGCTAGCTCACTTGATCTCACAGATTTTGACTTAGATGGAAGTTGGGGAGTACCAGGGGGAAGGCAGCTCAGAGAGCAGAGCCCATTTTCTGACACCGCTTCCTGGGATCATGCACTTCCTCCTTGGTTTCAAGTTGTTTTGCACTTTAGTTCTCCCCTATCCCAGTATAAGCCCTTTATTTTTCCAAGCCCCTCAAGTTTTCTCTTCTGCTGTTATCTTGGATGTGATGTGTATTAGAGCTGGGAACATATAGAGAAAAGAAAGGAAAATTAGTGAAATTTTTACAAATTGCCTTAAGCTAGCTATTTGACTTATTTCAGTATTTTAAGAATAGAGGTGATTAGGGTGTGTGATAATTATTTCTGAAGACCCTAGAGTGAATGACAACTCTTTCTGTACGGGTTGTAAGGGAATCTTCAGAATCCTTGTCTCGGGCATTCGTTTTTTATATTTCATAGAACAAAAGTGTGCTCAAGAGAACCTCTTCTCTCCTCTCTTTAATCTGATCCCTGTGTCCTCTATAAAGAAAATGGTTTTTGCAAAAGCAGTGTAACTAAACGTCGAGGGATTGGGAGAGGCTTTTTGCTAACCTCCACTGAAAATGGCAAGTGTTACTGATAAGCCTGGAGCTTCTTTGGAGAAAGAATGGAAGACCGGCTTATTTTACAGCCCTTTGTAGAGATGCTAAGGCTGTTGTGGTGGAAAAATTAAACTGGTTTCTTGTAACGTCTCTCAGTGTCTTCGATTCCAAATGCATGCTCAGGTGTTCTATGTATCGTGAATCCTGCGTCTTAAAGAAAACCCATTTGTCCATGAGTTTGTTTTCATTCAAATTTGTACACCACACATGCTATCTATTTGACCTCGGGATTACAGGAAACTGGGGACAGCGGCTACAAACACAAGTTGGATTCCCAAGACCTTTAGTTGACGGTGGAGCCCCCAAAGAAAACTTGGGAGGACAAGGAAAAAAACAAAAACTCCCTCCCCGGACCTATATCTGTTCGATAGTCTGAGACTTAGAAGCGGATCTGGCCAGGAGAAAAGACCACCCTTGCTGCCCATGGAGCAAAGCGCCTGTAGCTAGGGGACATAGAGAAGCACGGCCTCCGATAACAGGTTAGCACCCCGACTTACCCAGGGGTTTGATGGTATTTTCTGCTGCCTCCTTCTCTTTGGGACCGCCGCTGGACATGAGCGCGGCGATGGAGAAGGCATTGGCTCGAGAGGAGAGCTGGGGCTTGGGCGATGCCGTAAACTCCATGGCCTCCAGTTTGCGGTCCTGGTCAGGGACCGGGCCTGCCAAATCGCAGTCCAGCTTCTCCCAAGGGAGACAAAGACACGAAACGCAGCTCAAAGTTTCCGAGTGCAGTCAAAGCAGAACTGGAGACTCCTGAAGAGTCCGTTCCCACGTTCCCAGGGCTCCACGCTGGCCTCTCCAGTCCACTAGAGCAAAGCCGGGTAGCCACAGAGACTTCGAACCAACGGGAAAGCAGGATGGGGCTAACCGCAAACTCAAAACTGTGCGCAAGCCACGAGGCGCGCCAAACATTAAATGCACAAAATGCGGAGTGCCCAGCGCCCACGCCGAGCCCCCCTCCAACCCTTGCTGGGCACCGGGACGTGATGACCCGCAGTGGTACTCTCCGGGGTGCGGAAACCAGGGAGCCTGTTCGCCGCTGTGCAGAACGCAGCAAGGCGCGACCTACACTGCGCCTGGGCGCCCGTTGCCCCCTCCTTAATTTGCTGGCGGTGGCCCTCCCTGCCCACACCAGCCACTCAGCGTGGTCTCACGTCACAGCTTCCTGGCTGTGCGGCTTGGGGCGGGGCCAAGCGGCGCCTGGAGGAAGCGCCTGGGGCGCTTCGCCCTCCTGCCTAGACGCTCCAGGAGGAGAGCTGGGCACCCCTCACAGTGAATACAACCACCAACAGGGTGACGCAGCAGCCTCTGCCACCTCGGCCGAGTCTCTCAGATCCTGTGGGAAAGCGGCACGCGATGTCTGGAGCCGCACTTTCACTGTCTCCCAGAATCAAGGATGCGCTCCTGGTGCAGTATCCATAGCCACCAGAGGAAGCCCCACCGAGTTCTGCTAGTCCTCTCTTTGCTACTGGGGTACAAAAGTTCTCGAATATCTGAGAATAGTAGAGCATTTTCCGCATCGCTGAGCGGAATTAACCTGGTAACGCCACACAGTCCCCAATGTTAGGGTCTCCACTTGAAGGCCCCGAAATTATATCTACATTCACAGAGAGGAGCTGGGAAGGTATATCCCTGGGAAAGAAACGTTGAGCTGCAAGGATCGTGTAGGAGGGATGCTTTTCGGCGAACTTGGCCTTCTGCTGTGTGCTGGTTGCTTCTAGACTGGGTTTTCTATTCTGAAGAGGGATTGTAAAAAGTAGAGCAGTGGCCCGAAGAAAAGACCAGGGCAGGGCAGGGAGCTCTGCGGGGACCACGGGAAGCTCAATAGGAGAGTGTGACCTTTCCAGCGTTCACGGAACCATCAGCCTCGAAGACCCGGCTGGGGCCAGGACTTCCCACGGCCTTGTGGAGGGAGTTCTGCTGGCCTTGCTCAGTCTAAATAACTCAAATTCTCCAAATTCGCGGGGTAATCCGCTTCGCTAGCAGCCGTGTAAACTCTAGAGAACACACACACTCTCAAGCTATACTTGTAAATATTTGTTCTCTTTTCCAGCCAGTTGGTCTGGCGATTAGGAACCTCTTGGTAGGTCTTAAGGTGGGGGAAAAGAAAGAACGAAAACAAAGCAATCCCACAGCATACATACTCCTGTCTCTCATTGCATCCTCGTCACAGCTCCAGAAACAAAGTTCTAGAGGAACGAGAAAAACAAAATAACTATTAACAACACCCCATGTGAACAAAATGTTGGCATCTGAGGACATTCTGATTTAGGCTGGCCCGGCCATCCTGTCAGGTTTCCTCATTTCAACGTCTCTGTCCAAATGTAAAGTGTCAATGTTGGGGAAATTTAAAATTAGTAAAACGGCAGAATTTTCATGCTAAGTGTTCGTTTACTCCTTGTCTGGGCCACCTCTCACTTTTAAAATATCGAAGGTGACAAATTGGCAGAGCAGCATCTCTTCCCTTCAGACCTCCTCCGGGCTAGAAAGAGCCTGAAGCTCCAGGGCACACTCCAATCAAGGTCCCAGTCAGACTCAGGCTCTGCAACTGTGGCTGTGGCTGTGGCTGTGGCTGTGGAGGAGTTCCTAAGAGGGCTACTAAGGCCAGATGGCAGTAAGCTCAGAAGAAACATGCAGGGAGAGATATGTGTCCCTGTATGCAATGTATTTTTGATTTTTTATTATTTACTTATTTGTTTGTGCTGTATGTGGGTGCGTATCACATGTGTGCATGCAAGTGGAAGCCAGAAAAGAATATCAGATCCCCTGGAGCTGGAATTACAGGTTGTTGTAAATCCTCCTTGTGGGTGCTGGAAGTGAAACAGGTCTTCTGGAAGAGCAGCAAATGCTTTTAGCTGCTGAGCCATCTTTCCTGGCCTTACACACAATATCCTAATCAAGGTAACATTTCCTTTTTATTGTAAAGTTCACACTGTCTTGCCTCTTGTCTGAATTTTTAAGGTTTGTCAAGGAAGATGGATTTCTCTCAAGTTGGGTTTTTATTTGAGAGAGGGAGAAAAGGTTAATATAGACTTTGTTATAATTCTTCAACTAACATTGCAGGTTTTGTTTGCTGTATCTAGTTTTCAATAGCTTGCTGTGTCGTTCTAACTCAATTAATAAAACGTCCTATTTCATCTTATATACGGGGAAGTACTGTCTTTATCACTTTAATGACTTAGATTACATTTGGAACGGGACCCTGAGATATACTTTTCAAAGAAACTGATGGAGCACGGGAAAGCTGGATTGCCGAACTCATTGTCCACATCCTCACAAATGCCCCCTTAGCCAGTTTCTAGGAGTTTTGTGGGCAGGAGAGGTTGAACAAGTGCGAGGAGAAGGCAAACTAGAGGAATTGAAATGAACAAATGCAGGGGCCAGAGGTGAGTCACTTGGGTGTCCCTAAGCTATGCATCTTGGTGGTGCTGAAACCATCACCACGGTGAATGAAACATTGCCGCGGGGTTATTGTCCTGGTAAACTGTTCCTCCTCTTAATTCGCTGCCTTTGCAAATCAATGCGTTGTTATAAGACAGGGAGTCTGTGCTGGCAGAAAGGTGCTGCCAATGGGTAATTCAAACCTTCCTCCTCGGGAAGCTGAGTATAACTAGTTCCGAGGCCCCTTCAAAACCCTCGGGGAGCAAGGGTTAACACATAAAACCACCCATGGAGCTAGAACAAAGCAATCCCATTAACACTTCCCCGACCCTGCCCAGGCTGATGACAGGCTGTGTGTTCAGGCTGCTTTCAGATACTGGAAAAGGCATTGGACTTGAAGAAAGCTTTGAGTCATGACTTTTAACATGGGTTAGCGCTAGCTAGCGTTTTGTAGGCTTCCCAAACCTTTCAAAGCTTCCGTTTCATCAACTACTTTAAAATGGGACTAATACTTACTGCTACGTAGTAGATAGCTTTGCGAGTTAATAAGACCCGCAGTATGTGTAAAACATCCAACGATAAGTAAAATCCATTACTCTAAATAAGCAAAACAACGCAGCATTTTAATTATTTGATTTTGAACAACATACTCTTTGTCACGGAGCCATCAGATACTTCTGGATTATAAGAAGATTGGGACCACCACAGACAGTTGAGCTTCAGAGCGGAGAGAGACATATAAGGTTTTGATATTTTCTAGAAGGACTGGACAATGCCCCCTAATGTAAGACACGCACTTTAGAAAATTTTCTTTTGCAGCCTCCAGAATTCGAGAGCTTATTAGTCAATCCCCAAAACTGTCCAGGGGGTAACCGGCGACCTGCAATCTGCCAAGGTCCCTGATTTAACGAATCCTGTCTGAACGCTCTGCCTGGAGTTGCTGGGACATAGCCTGCGTAGGTCTAGCTGACAGACCTTAGGCGAGGGCAAGAGCTGAGCCTGGGCGTTGGGCCAGATACGAAGTAGAGGGCGCCACTTAGAAGCTGGGGTTGGGAGGCAGAAGCCAAGGGCAATAGGGACATCCGCAAACAGGCAACTACTTCCGAAAGTGGCCCGAAGTCTTGTCGGATCCTCCTTTCAGTTCTTCTGGATAGACTCTGTAAAAAACGACAGTAAAAGATCATTGCTCCTTTAGATCAATAAATTTGGTTTACAGATGCCACAAACAGTGCGAGAAGCTAGTCGACCACAGCCTTATAAGGCTTTTCAGGCACGTTCCCTGGGACTCAGGAGTATTGTGGTGCCTGGTGCTGGGTAGAGAGCGTGCTCTGAAGCTGCGGAGGAAAGGTCCCAGCCTGTGCTCTCAGGGCCTGGGTTGGTGCCCAAGCACACTGTCAGCTTAGATATTTGCGAATTTATGTGGTTCATAAGAAGCAAGAGCAACGATCCCAACCAAAACCGCAGGACATGGCCCTGAACATTCAGAACTGCAGGGGACCCTAGTTGCCCTATGCCTCCAGTTCCAGGCGACTTTGCCCAGTTCCCTTTCTAAGGCCCAAGCAGAGTCAACCTGTGCTGGGAGACTGCGTGAGCGTGCGCGGTTCACCTGGGATCTCACATTCCTGCTCAGAGTAGACTGGAAGGAGATAGCTGTGGCATGGACATAAGGCAGTTGGCGTCCATCTCCAGGGTCCACGTGATCTGGAGATAAGAGACCAGAAATTGTAGTTGCAGCGACGTTTATTTAACCTCAGCTGTAGGCTTTAGGAGGACAGCAGCTAAGGAGGGAGCAGCCTACATGGCCATGCCATGTCCTCATGGGGCCGGTCCTCTTCTAGCCCCGAGCATCTAACTGACCCCATCCCTCAGCGAGGCCTGGCAAGCTTACGTTCACCTGCAT